TAGACCAGGCTGGCCTTGAACTCACAGAGCTCTGCCTGCCTCTGCCTCCCGAGTGCTGGGATTAAAGGTATTGTAATTTTTTAAATATTTTATTTATTTTTTTTTATTTTATGTGAAAGAGTATATTGCCTGTGTGTGTGTAAGTGCACCCATGTCATGCACTTTGAGATTTGCTGCTATATACATTGTAAAAGAATCTGGACACATAATCTGCTGTTTCTCAGCACCAGGCGCATGAGCCTAGTGTAGGGTTCTGCTCAGCATGTGTTCCTTGAATTTCCTTTCCCTAAATGATTTTCTTGTCCACCTGGTCTGATGAGACTTCCAAAGTCCTGGCTCTCTGAATTGGCCTGTGGGATGAAATGAAGTTGGAGCGAGGTACTTAGAGTGAAACAAGGGCTCCAGAGAGTAGAGTCCAAAGCTCCACTACATGCAACATTTAGCACTTGACAGAAGAGAAGGGGGAGATCTCCAACATCCCCAAAAGACGTGGGTCTCACCCAGAAGGCAAGCTCTTTTGTCATTGGCTGTCAACAGAGAAAGTGAGACAGTCTGGGATCATGATTCATTTCATCCCCAAATGCTCAAATGGTGGCTACCAAGAGGGAAGAGTCTCTTTCTTGAGTTTCTGACCAGCATGTTGTAAATTCTAATGAGGGACTAGTTCATGGTAGGCAGCAAACACTTATTTTAAAAATATTAAAGCAATGAAGACGTGAATTGAAATAAGCACTTTTATGAAACATCTACTAAGGGCTGTAAAGCAGTTTCACATCAATTCCTTGATCCCCACAGTAATTTTATATACTAGGTTATATTATTAACTTTTTGCATCTGGAGGAAAAAGAGGTTCAAACAAACTCAAGCTGTCAGGCTCTGCATTTGGCTTTAGCCTCAGCTCTTTCCTCCTTTTTTTTTTTAATTGAATTTTTGAGGATTTCATGCAGCATATTTTGATCATATTCAGATCCCCTATAAGTATATATTTATTATCATTTATATATTTATATATAAACGTGTCTGTGTGTGTGTGTGTGTGTGTGTGCAAATGCCCATCGGTGTGGATCTGTCCACTGGAGCCTGGTTGACTTACCTAGTGTCACAGCCTTAAAGAAAATTGACCCTCTCTCTCTCTCCCAGCAGCTATCAGTTGCCAATAGTTCTTCAGCTAGGGTTGGGTCTTCTTACCTACTTCCTCTATGAGCTCTTTTCTTCTGTGTCCTTAGGTAACTTGTAAAGACAGGCTGACCTGGGATCTGTCATATGTCTCCTCTCATTCCTGGTAGAGCAGGACAGAGTGATGAGAATAAAGACTGAGGTATCAGTTAAGCTAGGTGGTCTGAGAGAGGACACTTCAAAGCAAGCATGAAAGTCTCTGAGGAAAGATACAATATTTCAGACCTCATATTCCTCGGTTACTTGAGTCCACCTATCTAAACTGAGCTTCCTGGGCCCAGTCAGTACCAACTCATTGTTCTGTGACTATGTGATTCTGAGAAATGGGTCATGTCCTTCCTTCAGCTTTTTGGAAAAACAGAGGAAGAGGGAACCTAATTAGCTTAATCAGTCACTGGTTGCATGATCTTAGAGAAATCACATATTACTTTTTTCTTTTCAGTATAATAATAAGGTTGACCCATTATAGTTTGAGGATATATAGAAGAAATCAGAGACAGTGAATAAGTGCAATGTATCATAGTCTTGATTAGTACATTGGTAGCTGCTAACATCACCACTCTTTGCACTTTTATCTTATCCGATGGTCTCCAGTTGGTCTAGGATAGCAT